ACACCTCCTCATCTCTCTGCTCCTTCGATCAGCAGCACCTCCTCATCATTCTGCTCCTTCAATCAGCAGCACCTCCTCATCTCTCTGTTCCTTCAATCAGCAACACCTCCTCATCTCTCTGCTCCTTTGATCAGCAACACCTCATCTCTCTGCTCCTTCGATCAGCAGCACCTCCTCATCTCTCTGCTCCTTCGATCAGCAACACCTCATCTCTCTGCTCCTTCGATCAGCAGCACCTCCTCTTCCCTCTGCTCCTTCGATCAGCAGCACCTCCTCATCGCTGCTCCTCACAGTGAGATGTAGCTGGACCTGCTCACCTTGTTGCTCCTGTAAACCTGTCCTAAACGGAGCTACAGCTGAGACCTTCTCCAGATGTTCAGCTGATGTTCCTCAGCCAGACGAGAAGATTTCAGGAGCTTCTTGTCTGAAGATCACGGCTTGTTGGACGTGAAGCAATAACTTCACTGTGCTTCTGTGTTTCAGGACTGCTTTGAGGACGCGTACGACCGCATACCTTCGTGAGTACACACACACGTTTGTATTTCTATCCTTATTAGGGCTTTGTCGGCGTCCATTCTTTTCTTTAGCTTGACCTTGACTCAAATCTGACCTTCACCCAAACCCCAAACCTAAAAATGGCATTCTGTCATACCAGTACCAGGTCCAGGTCCCCATAAGGACGACAGTCCTCTCAAGGTAGAAGGTAAACCAGAAAATGTCCTCACGAGTTATACTAACCAGTTCACACACACACAGACCCAATGAGTGTGGGCCTCATTATTTTTTATCATTTTCAGTCACTTCCTGTGTTGATTGCTTGTTTTGTCTTTGTGTGTGTGTGTTCTTGTTTATCCTGCCTTGTGAGGACTGAGAGGACAATCTGAGCAGACCATCGAAACAATGAGACGGATTTAAAAAGTGTTTTTTGTCATGTACTTGTGATGGTTCTTGAATCAGAGAAGTTGGTGCATCAGTGGTTGGGCCTGAGGCGAGTAACACATCAAACTGTGCACGTCACACGGCCTAGAACTCACATGCACTGATGTATCTGTGAGATGATGTTCAAACTGATGGGATGAACGTGTGGGTGTAAGAGCACGAGTTCCTGTTTGAGTGTCTTCCTCTGCAGTCTGCTTGACTTTCTGTGTGTGTGTGTGTGTGTGTTTGCGTGTGTGTGCGTGTGCGTGCGTGCGTGCATGTGTGTGTGTGTGTGTGTGTAGGGCATGTCGCATGGACCTGCAGACTGCCATCCAGGAGACCCAGTGTGCTCTCAACCTGGTCCTCAACAACAAGTTCTCCCAGGCCCTGGACCTACTCAAACCATGGTACCACAGCAACACACCTGTATACTACTACATATACTGCTGTGTACTACGACACTCTTGTCACAATAATCAATAAATCAATTAACCTCATGATAAATGAAAATGATCAACCTCATTTTATTGATCAGCTTCATCGTTTCTTCGTGTCTCTCTCTTTCTACTGAAGACACTCGATGACAAAAGGTTCAACTCTGGTTCTTCACTGACCCCTCCCTTTCTCTTTAAAATCTGTTTTAACGTCCAACATCGTGTTTTTGATCGTTAAAAGCAGCTAAACTGAGAAGCTAAGCTACGAGCTAAGCTAACAGGCTGACCTCGAGGAAAAAAAACTCAGTCTTGTCGAAGCTCCAAAATTCACGGTTGAAACTCTTGTCTTTGTGTAAAAAGTTGTTTTTCTCTATTAAAAACAATCTGAGAAGTTCACAAAGTTTGTTTTCTCAGTCATCCAGGTATATAACAACAAAAAAGGTTGAATCATGTCATCTGGACTTCGTTTTTTTTGTTAAAAAGAAACGTTTCGCCCCTCATCCAAGAGGCTTTGTCAGTCTGAGGCCTAGCCATCTGGTATTACCCAGAAGCCACCCTGA